TTCTTTGCCTTTAAGACGCTGTAAATCTTGTTCCATTGCCTTATGATATTTGATATTGAGGCCACAAAGACTTTTATTTCTTTCTGGATAATCTGTTTTGTTTTTTCAGCCAGAATGCTTGCGGAATTTTTTTTCTTTATATTTATAATTTACAAGCCTTGCCAGACAATGTCTAGGAGTGGGGCCTATGTTAGTTCATTCATCCTACCCTCCCCTCTCCCTCCCTCCATCCTTCCTCCCTTCCTTCTACACTTCCTTCCTCTTTTCTTCCTTCTTTCCCTCCTTTTTTGTTTTTAATTACTCTGAAACATGATGAGTCTTGTCTATGTTGCATAGGATATTTATTTATTTATAATTTACTTTTATTTATGTATAGCTCAGAAAGAGATCTACTATATATACTAGATTCTTGCTTTGATGGCATTTGTTCTGATCTCTTCAGGAACACCAGTCATCCATTTATAGGATCTCCATTCTCTGTTTTCCAAAACTCTCAGCTGCCCTTTTATTCCTTTGGTCTGTATTTTCTTTGAATTCCAGGATAACTTATCAAATGCTTCCTCACTTCCCCCAAACACATCACTGATCTGCTCTTCCATACTGTTAGTTCCATTTGTTTCTCCTGTCAATTGTGCATTTTAATTCTCAGTGTTTCTTTTAATTATTTTTTTCTTCTTACAAAAGTAATACATATTCATTCTAAAAAGTTGGGAAATATAAATAAACAAAAAATAAGATATTCTAAGCCACCATAATTTCACCACCCAAAGATGACAGTGTTCATATTTTGATGCATATCCTCTAGTCGTTTTTCTATGAATTAATATACGTATACAATTTTTTTTAAATGGGGCATAGTAAACCCAATGTTTTACAAACTTCATTTTCACTTTCAAACAGAATACGCATCTTTTCCCATGTTATTTAAATGGAATGACGTGAATATTCTACAATGCAATTTTTTAGTCACTACAATAGTATTTCAATGCAGACATACCATAACTTACTAAACCAATCCTCCTTTATTGAACATTTTTTTCCTTAAAATTATTGATACTGTAACTAGTGCTGTGACAAACATTTGTGTCACTTATCTTTATGTACATCTATGATTACTTCTTACAATAAATTCCTAGGAGTTAGTTAAGAGCATGCAGAATTGTAAGAACTCTGACATGTGCCGCTATATAGTCTCACTTTTCTTGATGTCTTTATTTAATCTTATGCTCTTTTAATGTTATCTTACTGCCTTTTCATTGCAGCCCCTTCTCCTTAAAGATGTTTATTCCTGTTTCATAAAAACCAAATCTTCTTCTATCTATTAAGCATACCCATTTTCTGACTTCTTTTTCTGTGTCCTGTATTATGTCCTTTCCAGAGTTCTGCTCTTCTTCCAGTTCTTCAGAGTGATGTTTCCTTCCTCCCTTCCCCAGCCCTCCCTCCCTCTCCCCTTTTCTCCTCTTCCCTCCCTCCTTCCTTCCTCCCTCCCTCCCTTCCTTCTTCTCTTCTCCTTACTGTTTGTTAGTCAAGCACTATTTTAAACCAGAAGGCCAAGCAGGCTATTCCACATGAGATTTGTTATTGTCTTTGGGGCCCATGTTATATACTGGGGTTAGTTCAGGGCCTGGTAGCAGGATTCATGGGCTTCTGCAAAATTCCTAACAGCCTATTCTTTTAAGTTAAGTCAAACCAAAATGCTCCCAGGGGATAAGACATAAAAATAATTCAAGCATTTTGTAGGTCAGTGAACTGAATTTCTAGATACTTTTCTGAGGAAAGAATTGTGCTGAGAGAGGAGGGTTTTTGGTCCCAGGCAGGTGGGCATAGGCTGAAAACCAGAGCCTGGGGACCCCAGGGCCACCTGTCGCCACTCTGTGACTGTCCCATGGAAAGCCGCCCTAACTTCCTGCGGCCCCTGCATCAGCCTCACCACTGCGCCTCCCCAGTTTGCCCTCAGCTCCCCGGGGAACCCAATTAAAGGGGTTGTGAAATCCACCACCTTTCTAGACTTAACACTTGCACAGAAAGTGCTCTCATTCCTCGAAGTTGCCAGGCCAGTTGCCCTGGACTTCACATGACAATGACTCCTTGGTATTTATGTTTAAGGGTCTGTGGGATAGGGATAAACCTAAAAGCCAGCGTCATTAACCACTTCATAGGTCAGCTTCCCAGGTGTGTTTTTCAGCCGAGCTGAGGGCCTCAGGGTGACTGGCATACCCCTTCCCCTGCTCTTCACCATCCCCAGGGGCCAGCATCCTCTCCTCCCCGCCAGCTTTTCCCTCCCCACCATGGCTTAGGTCCCCATGTCTGGTTATTCTAATGATTGTGATCAACTCCAATGGTCTGTTTAGTTCAGAGACCGTTCCAAAAGAGCAACAGTCACACAATGGAACTTTATGCTGCCAGTGGGCCTTTCTTCAGTCCATCGGCTTCAATAAAGACACTTGTCCAAGGCCCACAGCTCTTCAGTGGCAAGACTGGTACCTACCCCAGATCCTCTGGGCTCCAGTCTGGATTCTCTCCACTGTGCCATGCATTAGAAAGCTCAGAATTGGGTGGATCACCTGCTTCATGCTGTAGGGAGTGTACACTCACCGTGCACACTGCCTGTGATAGAAAGACGAGACTGAGGTTCCTGGAGTTGATTTCAGGAATGTTAAGCTCAACATGTCCTCATGTAACCAGTTAATACTAGGCTCCAACTGCCACTGTTACAATGTATACGGTTCTGCCTCTAAAAGAGATAACAAGTATCTAATACCACTTGCTGTAACCTTACATACCAAAATTTCAGGGACAGTCCAGCTTTCAATGAACAAACATTCTGTCGTCAGGGTCCCACAAGTAGTGTTGACCAGACCAAATTTCCCAGTTTGAAAACCAGAAAACAGAGTCACCACAATTTTCATGCAAAGTAAGAGGAGGCACAAGGAACAAACAAGCTTGGGGGTGAGCTTCTCGGGGGGCCAGGGGAATGGCCCATGAAGATGGATTGTGCTTTGCCGGGACTGGCAGGGAGGACTCCTTTGGGCAGAGAGAGTGGTAGGTAGGGCAGGGTTATCAAATGGATCAGGGCGGAGGACAAGGGCTCAGAGAGTTGAGAAGCAGGAGATAATGTTAGGGAAGTAGGCCACCAGCAGTCCCTGATGATAATAAGCCGCCAAGGTCTTCATGGAGGCTAATGATATGAGGGAGTGGGTGTATGGGTGGGCACCGAGGAGAGGAAGACAGTGTAGAGGAAATAATGAGTGTCACCGTTCAAATGCTGCTGTGTACAGTTACTTATATTTATGGTATGTCACATATTATATGACATAGTAGTTCAGTGGATGAGTGAGACATGAAGCATGTGGGGAAGAACAGCCTCCTGACAGGGAGGAGAAGAAGCTGTCTTCCTCTGGTGGGCCTCAGTTTCCACTTACTCTTCCCTGAGCCCAGGTCTTTCCTGCTAATTCCTGGATTCTGGGATTTACTTTGAAGTGGGTTCATAAACTCCAAGTCTTCCTTTTTTACTCCTGTATAGAAACATACTCATTCCCTGCCTTATGGTCATAGAACTCTAAAAGGAAAACACAATTCAGTGGTTGTTCTTGAAATGTGGTGATGACTGCCCATGGGTTAGGGGCCATTTTTACTGCTTTACATTAGTGTACTTTTAAAAAGAAGCCATGACAACTCCTTGACAAGAGAGACTTGTTTTACATTCATTCCCCACCCTCATGGCCGGCACATAGAGGTTCCTTCTGTGGATTGCTGAGATTATCTGCATCTCAGGCATGTTGGCACATGGCGGGTAAGGAGGAGACCCTTCAGCCTCCCAGATTGCTCAGATACATGAGTTGAGAGAGGATGGACTTCTGTGGCAGAACCTCTTCTGGGTAATGCCACAGTGGTCTTCAGGCCCTCAGCTTTAAAAGTATAGATAATAAAATCAGCAGGGTGACTCACACCAACAAAACTCACAAGGGGCTGGTTTATAAACCAGAGCCGGAATGCTGATTTATCTGGGCAGAGAAGCCTGGTAGGATAGCTGATTCCAGTCATTGGCTCAGGTCACTGTTCCACTTGGTAGGCAGTGTTCTTAGGAAGACAGTTCTTAATGCAGAAGTTTCCTTTATGTACTAGATCAGAACAAGGTGAGATGCCTTCTGGCAGCCCCAAAATGCCCTGTTTCCACACTGCAGACACTCTGACCTTAGGAAGTGAGTCCTTCATTGACAATCAAAATGTTCCCTTCTCAGGCACAAATGTCCCAAAATGTTCCCTTGGGACACCTGGGCAGACATTTTTCCTCTCTGGCTTACCCTGTCTGTCACCAGATGCTTCTTCCTGCACAGTGCTGTGACTAGAGGACCCTTTCTAGTGATTGATGGTTCCACTTACCTTACAGTGAGTTCTCAGCTGCACTTCCCCAGGACATTTTGGGAAGGCTTCTCAGCTCCTTGGCAAGCTCTCGAAGACACACTTATCTCAGCCTTGCCAACTTAGCCCACGTGTGAGTCCCCCACAGAAGCTTCATAGATGGGCAATTCCACTAGCCTGTCTTCTGACCTGATCACCAGGTCTTGGGGTTCTGTGTGCCTGATTCAGGGCCTGCAGTTCCCTGTACGTAGACTCTGTTTCTCACCGAGAAGCTTAGCCTCCCAACCTTCAGCAGGTGAGGAAGGTGGTGAGCTTGTTGCCAACTGCAGATCTGGGCTTACACCCTGTCTCACAGGCACGTCCTGCCAGGTTCCTTGCATTTGGTTCTTTAAACGATCTGCAGCAGAGGAGGGAACAGTGGCTCAGCAATTCAAGTAGAGGGTAATTGTCAGTCAGCCAGGGTGACTTAGCAAGGTTTTCCTGGCAACAGGTGTGTCCTTCTGATAAGCTTTCCTTGGGCCACTAAGAAAACAAGAGTGTATTTGCAGAAGACACTCAAGTGATGGGGGAACTGCAGTCAATCACCAGATGTGGCCTCAGTGACACTTAACATTCCCTCCCTTTCTTCTCCTTCCCAGATTGTCATTGAAGATATTGGGAACAAAAGAAAATATGACTTTCCTCTTAACCGCTGGCTGGCCTTGGATGAGGACGATGGCAAAATCCAAAGGGATATCTTAGTGGGTGGAGCAGAGACCACAGGTAGAATGAAAGAAAGGGGAGGCCCAATTAGCTAACATTTCCCTTTCTGCCTGAGGCTTGATGTTCTCATCTGTGTGCTTCGAGGCCTGCGATCAAGTGGGAGGCATCTGGGTCTACAGACAACATTCCTCCTGCTCTTGAATTTGTACTGTTTCTCTGCGCTGGAGGCTGGGGCTCTGGGGATGCCAGAAGAGAAGGGGAGGTGCCCTGAGGAGGTATTAACTTCCCAGGGCAGAAGAAGCATCTGCAGGATGAAGCCCGGATGTGAACTCCTCATGCATGTGGACATTGATGAGGATGTTGATTTACTCTTAAGTCCTCCTACTATGGAGTGCTTGCTATGTGCCAGGCCCTCTACTAGGCCCTGACCAGTTTCATCTCCTTTAATCTTCACAATGACCCTATAATATAGGAACTGTTATGGTTTCCACTTCACAGTTGAGGAAACTGAGTCACATAGCTGTTAAGAGACCTGTTCAAGGTCACCCAGCTAATAAGTGACAGATCCAGGATTGGGGCTGCCTTCAAAATCTCTACCTTGTGTGAATTCCATGGAAAACCTACAACTCCCAGCATGGAAATGCATGAATGTTCCAGGAAATTGGCATTGGTGAATGTGCACATCTGAGAATGTGCTTTGCTGCAGAACCTTCTTTTGCTCACTGCTGCATAGAGAATAAGTCCAAGTTCTGGGGTATAGTCTACAAATTGCTCCACACTTTGGTTCCAGTTTCCTGTATCAGAGACTCAAAAGCTTCTCCCATCACTGCCACACACCCTCCGTGTCCTGCACCTCATCTGCATACCTTCCGCTCCTTCCTGTACCTACACCCTGACCCTGCCTCATCTGCATGCCTTCCCTCTCTCCCTCCCTCAGCTGCCTGTCTTCATCTCTCTCTCCCTGTATCTGTGGAACATGCTTTCTCCTCAGCCTGTAATGCCCGTTCCCTTCTTTCTGCTTCTAGTCCCTTCCTGTTAGCCATCCCTACCTCCTATGCACAGAGAAGGCTCTCCCGTGTTTTGCTCCGGACATCTTGGCCAGACCCTGACTGCCCTTGTGCAGGAAACCAGTAGTTCCTCTGCTCCAGCACTTCCAGTCTTAGCACTGTGGCACTCTGGCCTGGACTGACCATTGCTGGGTGTGTCACAAGTCATTTGTAACTAAAGTTGGCAAATTATTTACTTAAAAACATAAACTAGAATGGGTTTCCTATGACCCCTTTAACCACATTACTATTACTTGCCTCCAGTGGAAGAAGAGCAGAAATGAGAGTCAGAGGCTGGGAATTGCCAATAATCTAGGCCACAGTGGCATGTCTTCTGTGAGAACACCATCTACCTGTGTGTTTTGGAGAAATAAAGCTGGAGACCCATTCTTTTAGGGCAGTGGCCATTCATTTATATCTTCGTGTTCTCCCTGAGGCCTGGCATTTGGCAACAAGCTGTTGAACAAAGGAAGGTATAAATGTATGAGTGCATAAGGAATCCGTGTAGTTCCATGTGCTAGCTCCCAAAGAAGCCCAGGATTTTTATTTCTCTGGGGTCAGGGGATGAGAGTTGGGTCTGCGGTAGGTGGGGAGAATCAACAGGAACGAAAGTTCCATTGCCTTAGACTCCAGGACCTGTTGAAAGAATGAGGCCAGACCTCAGCAGTTTCTTGTCTGAATGCTTGTCTTTGGTGTTTTCTCTTCCTCTGTCTCCTCAGAGCTGAATCTCCCCATGCTGGTGCTTCCCCAGAACTCCATGTCCTCATACAGCCTCCTGACTGATCAAAACCCCAAACGGGCCAACCCACAGTGTTCTCTCCTTCTCTCAGTCTTCCCCTGTCCCACCATGTCGGGCAGAGACGGGTGACATTAGTGACCTCTTTAAAAGTTATGTTTTAAAGTTATGAGCAAAAGAGCAAGCTAAATGAATCAAATAGGCCTGAACACAAATCTCCATTAATGGAGTTGACTATTATAATTAAATTAGACATAACAGAATTCATCCGGCAGCTTTAATAATATGCACATGGTAATTAACATTAATAAGTACTATTCTTAGCCTATTCAAGTTCCTCCTTCTCTTTGTTAGTTTCCTGTAATCAGGGCTGGCATCTTCCTGTAATAATACCTGCAGTATATTCCTGAACTCAGATACAATGACACACAGACTGAAAAAAGACACAGTGAGGTTGAGAGGAGCATTGAACGGCAGCTTGCGGAGGAGGACGGGGGGTGGGGTGGAGGGTGGAATGAGGCTGTACGACGGGGAGGGCCGGGGAGGTGGTAGCCAGGAAGGGAGAAGGGGTAGGACGTGGTAGCAGCTGGCACTGAACCCTATCCTCCCCGCCCCATTCTTTCCTCACCAGCTATCTCGTATATTGTCACCGTCTTCACTGGGGATGTCCGGGGGGCTGGGACCAAATCCAAAATCTACCTGGTCATGTACGGAGCCAAAGGCAGTAAGAACAGCGGGAAGATCTTCCTGGGGGGTGGAGTGTTTGACCGGGCCCGCACAGACATCTTCCACATCGAGCTGGCTGTCCTCCTCAGCCCCCTGAGTCGGGTCTCCATTGGGCATGGCAATGTTGGAGTCAACAGAGGCTGGTATTGTGAGAAGGTAAGGGATGCCCCTGGGAAGACCCTTTCCCCATCCAACCCCTCTCTTTTTAAATTTGTAAATATGAACTCTATCCTCCTTCCTGTTTCCTTTGGACCAGTTACAGAGCTCATGGGCAGGCCCTTTCACTGGGCATAGTGTGCCCACCCATCTGGCTTTGCTGATGGTCAGGAATGAGGGCTGTTGTGCACGTGTGTCTGAGGGCTACACACAGGGGACCAGGAGGGGCTCAGTTGATGGTTATAGATTATTCTGATTCCTGATGTGGTGTTTCACTTCAGCTTATATCTCTCAATCAACAAGTATTTTCAAATATATGCTCGTATTGTGGAACACTTACACACTTTAAGGAATATACATAATACAAGGCACAGAGAATGGTAAAAAACAAACATCGATTTCGTCTACAATCCAGTTTAAGAAATACATTTCCAATGATCTTAAAACTCCTCTGTGTCCTTCCCCAATCATATAGTCCTCTTTCCCCCCAAAAAGTGTACATTATTATGAATTTTGTCTGTGTGTATATTGTTTGTAACTAGCAGTTTTCACCTTAACATTATACTTCAGAGATTCAACTGAATTGATAACAGTTGAATCCATTTCCCAGCTATTCCATTGCATGAATAAATTGGAAATATTTGTCCATTCTTCTATTGGTGGACATTTTGGGCTTCTTTCTTGATTTTTCCTATTGTAAACAATGCTACCACAAAATTCTTGTACATACATCATTGTACAAATGTGCAGAAGCTTCTTAGGACGGACGTGCTAGGTCATAAGGTAAGTGAATCTTCAGCTTTGCAGGATAATTGTATTTCCAAACTATTCCAGATTGTTTTCCAAAGCAGTTGGATCATTTTACTGTCCTATCAGCCATAAGTAAGAGACATTTTGTTCCATACATCCTTGCCATCACTTAATATTTCCTGAATTTTTAATTTTTGCTATTTCAGAGGTTGTAAAATGATCTTACTGTGGTTTTAATTTTTATTTTCATGATTACTATTGAAGTTGAACACCTTTTCATTCCTTTATTGGTTATTCATGTTTCCTTTTATGTAAAATGCCTGTTCATGTTTTTGCTGATTTTTCTACTCACTGATATTTTATTAAAACCAAAGTATACTTGATATAGAATATTATATCAAGTGTACAACATAGTGATTTGACCATATTATGAATGTTCACCATGATGTGTAGTTACTATCTGTCACTATTCAGTTATTACAGTATTGTTGACTATATTCCCATGCTGTACTTTTTATGACTTGCTGACTTTATAATTGGAAATTTGTACCTCTTTATCGCCTTCACCTATATCACTCATCCCCCTACTTCCTCCCCTTTGGGAACCAACAGTGTGTTCTTTGTATTTGTGAATCTATTGCTGTTTTGTTATTCTATTCGTTTTGTTTTTTAGATTCCACATATAAGTGAAATCATATGGTATTTGTTTTTCTCTGTCTGACTTAATTCTCTTAGCATAATGCCCTCTGGGACTATTCATGTTGTCACAGATTGCAAGATTTCATTCTTTTTTTTGGGTGAATAATATTCCGTGGCATTATGTACCACATCTTCTTTATCCATTCATCTATTGATGGACACTTTGATTGCTTCTGTATTTTGGCTATTGTAAATAGTGGAGCAGTAAACATAGGGATATATATATCTTTTCAAATTACTGATACAATATTTTGTATTGTATCCTTTAGATAAATACCCAGAAATGGTATTCCTGAGTCATATGGTATTTCTATTTTTAATTTTTTGAGGAAACTGCATACAGCTTTCTACAGTGGCTGCATCAATTTACATTCCCACCAACAGTGTAGGATGCTTCCCTTTTCTGCACATCCTTGCCAACACTTGTTATTTCTTGTCTTTTTGATAACAGCCATTCTGACTGGTGTGAGGTAATATCTTACTGTGGTTTTGATTTGCATTTCCCTGATGATTAGTGATGTGGAGCATCTTTTCATGTGCCTGCTGGCCATCTTTGTCTTCTTTGGAAAAACTGATCTATCTTTGGATTTATTTTTAGGAGTTCTTTATTAAACCTGAATATTAATCCTTTGTTGATAGTATATGTTCAAATATCTGCTCATAGTTTGTTCACAGTGTACTTTGAGGAAGATAAGATTTAATTTGAAAGTAATCTATCTTACCAATCTTTTCTTTTGTGGTTAATATTTTTTGTATTATTGAAGGAAATCATACCTACCTTAAAGCTAAAAAGACATTTGCCTATATCATCTTCTAAAAATTATAAAGTTTGGTGTTCCCACTGACATATTTACATCTTTAATCTACTAGGAATTGGTTTTTGTGTGAGATGGGATCATTTTTTTCTTCTTTATAGATATCCAAATGTCTCAGCAACATTTATAGAGGGGCTTTTAAAACTTGAGTAAAGTTGAGAATCACCTGGAAGCTTGCTTTGCAGATCTTTCCCTATCTACTTTTTGTCTAAGAGAGCAGGTTCTTCATGCATTTCTGCTCATCCAAGGTTTACAATTCAGATGCCCGTTTGCAAAGGCCAGGGCCTCATCTCCTGCTGCTCAGGTGGCTATTAATTTCCTGGCCTTGAGGCGGGTGGTATTGCCTTTTGCTTCTGGTGTAGCACCAACTTTAGCATTCACAATTACCCATTCTCTCAAGAGCTTCCTGCTCACTAAATTTTGCTGACTCTGTGACTTTTCTATAAGTTCTTGGCAGTTCAGCAATGTTTATAAAAGGGTTTTGCTGTTATTTATCCAGCCTGCAGGTATTTTGCATTGGTGGGAGGTTTTTCAGACTGACTACCTGTTTTTCTGGACTACCTAGTCCTGAAGTAGAACTTCTGACAAGTATTTATAAGTGCTTTCTATGTGCTTAGAACTATGTTCAGGGGAACTACAAGGTGTGAGAAGACACAGCCTTAGATTTTCAGGAGTTTGGGGTGGACTAACCAATACTCATGTAGTAATTAGAGCAACTCAAGAGTAAACTAGGAGGAAACAACTTCAGGATTTGTTCAGAAGAAAGAAAGACATTTAAATAAATTGTGGGCAGTTAGACCCTTCTGAGTCTTTGGATCACCCTGCATGTGTGCCCCCCACCTTTGCCTATGCAGAGGTCCACTTCTGAGTACATGGTCACTGAGAATCTTCAGCATAAAGATGGAGCACTATAGTGGAGCCCAGTGGACCTCAGCCATAATAAGAATTCTGAGGTTCTTGCTGATGGGTATAAGGGGCCCAAGACTGATAACCAGGAGTCAAGAGCATTTATACTTCTGACATTAACTGAGTAAACTTGGGCACTTCATTCCCTTTTGTGGACCTCAACTTTCTCATACGTTGAGTGCACATTGGAGTGGACTGTATTATTTGCCAATACTTTTAGTGACACAGGATGAAAACATTTGAGGGGGCTTCTGCCTGAGGCTATGAGCCATCATTCATCTCCAGGGAGGAGAGTTTCTCTGGGAGGCTGGGGGAGTGCATGCTTCCCTCCATCCATCTTTTGTCTTCCTTATTCTTGGTGCTTATAAGTTATTTTAAGGTTTCTTGTAGCTGTGATGGTCAGATAGTGAGTAGTAGGAATTCTCAGAGATATCTGGTTACTTCTAAGGGTAATAATTCAAATAATTATAGTAATCTGTAGTAACCATGAACAACTGACAACAAACACCCAGTAAGACAGCAGTTAGTCAAAATGCTTGACCAATGGTAGGGTGAAATTAGTTTCAATTTAAAAAGGAGGTAAAGCTGAGAATTTAATAATGTGAATAGTCAAAATTTCTTTATGATAGCAGATTTTGTAGTGTTCCAGGAACATTCCTTGAACATCTACACTGTGTGGCCTGAGCTAGATAGATTTCCGTGTTCTAAGCCTGTGAGTTCATACATGGAGAAGGTGTAGGAGAGAAGGTTGAATATTTAAATAAATTGTGGGCAGTTAGACCCTTCTGAGTCTTTGGATCACCCTGCATGTGTGCCCCCCACCTTTGCCTATGCAGAGGTCCACTTCTGAGTACATGGTCACTGAGAATCTTCAGCATAAAGATGGAGCACTATAGTGGAGCCCAGTGGACCTCAGCCATAATAAGAATTCTGAGGTTCTTGCTGATGGGTATAAGGGGCCCAAGACTGATAACCAGGAGTCAAGAGCATTTATACTTCTGACATTAACTGAGTAAACTTGGGCACTTCATTCCCTTTTGTGGACCTCAACTTTCTCATACGTTGAGTGCACATTGGAGTGGACTGTATTATTTGCCAATACTTTTAGTGACACAGGATGAAAACATTTGAGGGGGCTTCTGCCTGAGGCTATGAGCCATCATTCATCTCCAGGGAGGAGAGTTTCTCTGGGAGGCTGGGGGAGTGCATGCTTCCCTCCATCCATCTTTTGTCTTCCTTATTCTTGGTGCTTATAAGTTATTTTAAGGTTTCTTGTAGCTGTGATGGTCAGATAGTGAGTAGTAGGAATTCTCAGAGATATCTGGTTACTTCTAAGGGTAATAATTCAAATAATTATAGTAATCTGTAGTAACCATGAACAACTGACAACAAACACCCAGTAAGACAGCAGTTAGTCAAAATGCTTGACCAATGGTAGGGTGAAATTAGTTTCAATTTAAAAAGGAGGTAAAGCTGAGAATTTAATAATGTGCATAGTCAAAATTTCTTTATGATAGCAGATTTTGTAGTGTTCCAGGAACATTCCTTGAACATCTACACTGTGTGGCCTGAGCTAGATAGATTTCCGTGTTCTAAGCCTGTGAGTTCATACATGGAGAAGGTGTAGGAGAGAAGGTTGAATGTGGCTGTAGCCTAGAAAAGGGCAGTTAGTTTTTGTATTAAATTCTAGGTAGTAATCACCTTTTATGTGACTGACTTTTGCAAGACAAATATAGGGGATTAATTTAGTATTCTAGTTCATTTGGTTCAGACCAAGATTTTACTCGGTGCATAAAGAAACACGATGTTAAAGAAGGTGTTATGTATGGATGAAAAGGTTTAAGATTTGGGCTAGTAAAGTGGAGGATAGATGATACCTACTTGGGAAGACTACTTAGGGAGGTATTTCTTTTTTTTCTTTTTTCTTTTGTTTTTTTTTCTTTATTGATGTAGAGTTGACACACAATTTTATATTGGTTTCAAGTATACAACATGGTGATTCAACAGTTATCTACATTATTAAAAGCTCATCCCTACTAGTGTAGTTACTGTCAACACAGAAAGATGTTACAGAATTATTGACTATATTCTCTATGCTGTACTTTCATCCCCATGACTAATTCATATCATGATTGAGATTTTGTGCCTCTTTATTCCTTTCACCTATTTCACCTCCACATGCCTACTCCTCCCCCATGGAAACCACCAGTCACTTCTCAGTGTCTATGTATCTATTGCTGTTTTGTTTGTTTGGTTTTGTTTTTAGATTCCACATGTAAATGAAATCATATTTGTCTTTTTCTGCCTGACTTTTTTCACTTAGCATAATATCCTCTAGGTCCATCCATATTGTCACAAATGGCAGGATTTCTTTTTTACAGCTGAGTAGTATATTCATTGTGTGTATGTACCACATCTTTTTTATACATTAATCTATTGATGAACACTTTGGTTGCTTCCATATCTTGGCTATTGCAAATAATACAGCATTAAACATAGCGGTGCATATATCATTTTGAATCAGAAATTTTGTTTTCTTTGGGTAAATTCCTAGAAGTATAATTACTGGGTTGTATGATACTCACTATTTTTAATTTTTTGAGGAACCACCATACAGCTTTCCATAGTGGCTCCACCAATTTACATTTCCACCAGTGGTGTAGGAGGGTTCTCTTTCTCCATATCCTCACCAACACTTGTTGTTCTTGTCTTTTGTATACTGACCATTCTGACTGGTATGAGGTGACATCTCATTGGGGTTTTCATTTGTGTTTTCCTGATAACTGGTGATGTTAAGTACCTTTTCATTTATCTGTTGACCATCTGTATGTCTCCTTGGAAAAATGTCTATTCAGATCCTCTGCCCATTTTTTAATTGGGTTCTCTGGTTTTTTGTTGTTGAGTTTTAAGAGTTTTTTATGTATTTTGTATGTTAGCCCCTTATTGGATATATCACTTGGAAATATATTTGGGGAGGTATTTCTTGATCTAAAATAATGAGATAGACAACTAGAAGAAAAATGTCATTTCTGGAGGATTCTAATGCAGATGACCCTTAACATGGGCTGAGGAAGCTGCTGAGCATTGCAGGGTGGTCCCAACCAGGGACCTGCTGCAAGAGACTCTTGGGCTCTGCCCCCCACAGGTGGTGATTCTGTGCCCCTTCACTGGCATCCAGCAGACCTTCCCTTGCAGCAACTGGCTGGATGAGAAGAAAATGGATGGGCTGATTGAGAGGCAACTCTATGAGATGGTGTCTCTCAGGAAAAAGAGGCTGAAAAGTAGGTGGAGGGGACCCAGAGCCTGGTCAGGGGGCCCAGCCATGGCCAGAATCTCAGACCACTTGGGCAAGAGGTTAGAGGGGATCCACTCCTGCTTTTCAGTTCTCCTCCACAAAGGGAGATAAAAGGTTTCCAGGGAGCTCAGTTCTTCAAGGTAAAGACCACATAGAGTTACACACCAGCATGAAGGCTGGTATTCCAGTGTCCCCAGACTGAATGAGTTGCCATAATTGACTTTCACAGGGTGCATGGAGTCAACTTCCGTTATTTAAAACATATGAGTAGGCTTTTGCCATTGAAAGGAACATTCAGGCACCTTCTTTCAAATAGCAAGGAATTCTTGGCTTCCTAAAATTGGCACTTGTTATAATGGGTTTCTGAGAGTGAGGCACACCTTTGTGTAACCTCTGCTTCAGTCTTGAAACCTTTGATTTGCTCCTTTTTCCCACTGATAACATGAAAATCTCTTTACTTGTTGAAGTAAACTTGACCTGTCTCTGCAGAATTTCCCTGGTCCCTGTGGGTCTGGACAACTGACTTGAAGAAAGCTGGTACCAACTCTCCTATCTTCATCCAGATTTATGGGCAGAAGGGGCGGACAGATGAAATCCTCTTGAATCCCAACAACAAGTGGTTCAGACCTGGCGTAATTGAGAAGTTCAGGGTAGGATGGAAGTGTAATTGGATAACAGGGAGGAAGGAGAAAGGGTGCAAAAGTTATTTGTCATGGGGATTCTGGTTATCTAAGCCAGATTTTGAATCAAGTTTGAAGACAAAAAGGTACAATGGAGACTTCAGGTCTCTGTAAGGAGTGGCAAATTTGAGGCAATGTATTGAATGGGGTTCAGTTTAGATCTGGCCCTTCATTTCAATCAAATGGTCCATAAACAAGGCTGGAGAAGAGGTAAATATGGGATGGTTTTGCGTATCCAGGAGCCTAGCAACTTGGGGAATCATTATAGAACAAAGCCTCTGAACACAGTTAGTGTCAAATTGCCCAATCTGGACTGAATTAGGAAGTGAGGGGCAAATTAAATGGAAAGTATAAATTTTAGAACACTTTTAAAGAAATTCAGCTTTCAGTTTCCAGTATGTATATAACTAGAACAGGGCTTATTTTGCCAATAGATATGTGCTCTGACCTTTAGGTGAAAATAATTTGTAATTTTCAGCTCTTTTCCCAGAGCAACCCACCAGTGCTTCTGTTACACCACTCGGTCCATTGCTCTTTACGTATTTGTCTTCCTGGCTAGACTGTGAGCCCCTAGGGAAAGGGCATGACCACTGTATTGATCTTTTTGTCTGTTTCAGAGCCCAAAAGAGTCCTGGGGCTGTGGGCCTGTGCTAATTTGCAGGGTTGCCATATGGATTTTGTTACTGGAAGTTTATTGCTTGGAAGATTTTCTTTAATCTGGATCCTACTGTGGGTCAGTTATTTTTGTTCAGTTTGACTGAACCTTAGCTCTCTGTGGCTGTCTTGCCCTCACATGCCACCAATTCCAAGGGTCTGAGAGGATGGAGTATATGAGGGTGGTTTGAAGCAAACCCATCCTCACTGCGGAAGAAACAGCCCAAAGTGGGTGACTTCCCGGCAGGGGGTCAGCTATGAGGATAAACATATTTCACTTGGTTATGTCCACTCAAATCTTGTTATTTTTCACCGTAGTTTGAGCTTCCAGATCTCGGCAGGTTTTATAAGATCCGGACATGGCACAATAAAAGGAGTCCTGGTTCTGGATGGCATTTAGAGAAGGTGAGATGTGCTACCTTGGAGGTTGGCAGGTGGAGGAGAGGAACCTGAATGGTCCCTTTACATGATCTTGTCATGCATGTAAATTTGCCTTTGTCTTTGTTGGGAGTGGAGTTAGGTAAGGGTTATAGTGAGACCCGAATTTGGATATAGGAAACAGGGACTTCCTGACAAGGAGAGGGCTTCTGAAGTAGACTAAGAGATGCTCAGGTTTTCAGGAGACTTGCATTCTGCCCCAGTGCTACATAGGTGTGAGTCTCCAAGGGACCAGAGGGATATGTATTAATCTGGCACTACACCTTCCCCAAGGGCCATCTCTAGGGATGGCCTTGCCTGCCCTAAGTGAGATAGCAGAAGGGGGACCCCAGGACATGCGTGAATATCTCTGGTGCACCCACTTGCTCACTCCAGGACTTCATTCCAGATGACCCTGATGAACACTCTGACCAAGGACAAGTATAACTTCAACTGCAATCGCTGGCTGGATGCCAATGAGGATGACAATGAGATTGTGAGGGAAATGACTGCAGAGGGCCCCACAGTGCGGAGGATAATGGGCAGTGAGTACTGACCACTCTCCATCCTGGGAGAGGCAATGGAACTCCTAGTTGGCGTGCCAGTGCGTTCTGGCCCATGTGCTGATGGTCTTGTCCACTGTGCATCATCAGGCCCCCTCTGAAAGCCAGGGTGGATTTAGAAGGTCCCAGCCTCAAGACTGGCTTGAAGGACCCACCTCTAAGTCATGATGCTGGAGCTCTATTTTAATGGACATGGCAGAGGGAAGGGAGACTTCACAGGCCTTCAGGTAGGCTGTGGGGGATGAAAAGAATCCACCCTAAGCAATATTTCTCCAGAAGCCTCCCTGAAATTAAATGAAACCTCTTCTTCAAATTAGGCATGAGGTGCTCCCCCAAAAGGAAGGCTGGATCCTGGCTGCTCTTGATGAGTCCTCTGTTTCTATTTAAGGCTAGTAAGAGAGGGACTAAGCTTTTAATCTGGAGTCTAGTATCCACATTCAAAGGTGTAAAGGGGGACTATTTTGTCTCTAGGCTATAGTAGCAGAGTGTTGGCAAATATATAGCATATGTCCTATCCTTTTCGCTTGGCAGACATTACTGAGTAATCACAGCATTCTCTCCCATTGAGTCTGAAATAAGTGTCAGATCCCTCAGTAGAGCACTCCAAGCAGACATTAGCAACTGATCAGAACTGACACTTGAGATAATTAACCTACTTTCTGTCATTGTGATAGTCCTTAATTTTTTTAATAGTATAGTATATTGCAAAATTACAGAAAGTTAATATATTGAAAATGATATCACTCATAGTTCCAGCAGTCTTCCTAAATATTTGGATGGTGTCACTTTTCAGGCTTTTTGCATGTCCAGAGGAAGCTCTGCATATGTTTGTTGAATTGATTTGGATAGAGTTAAATACTCAAAAGCATAGAAACTCCAAACAGCAAATATATAATAAGAGATTACCTACTTTGTTAATCTAGGCAATTCTTGCCATTAACACTATGTATCTTCTGTTTTATGGTTCTTCTTCATTTTTAATTAAAAATATGGCCATAGAATATTCATGCTCAAAAACCTTTAAAATAGCTAGATGCACATAAGGAAACTGAGGACGTTCTTGCCCTGATTGCACAGTTAGGTGGAGACAGAGCTGGGCCTAGAACAGGGTCTCCTGCTTTCTGGGTCAGTGGTGGTACTCTTTCTTTACACATTCAGTATTATTTTCTTTGGCAACAAGGCAGTCACCTCCCTGTAAAAATGATGAAGAACATGATTCTGCTCCAAATTAGGATTTTATGTAATATGTAGCCCAATTATGAAATGGGCTTATTAGAGCAGAAATGTGCCTGCTCTGATCTGTATCCTTTGTGTGCCAGAATTGGGCCTGCAGACATGAACAGCTGGGGAAGGGCTCTTGAGACCTACTGCTTTCTAAACCCTTCTCACAAATTCTCATGATTTTAGCTTCTCATTTGCTATTTCTTTTTTTGTAATTGAAATATAGATGATATACAGTATTATATTAGTTTCAGGTGTGCAACATAGTGATTGGACACATTTTTACATTATAGAATGCTCACCAAGGGTGGTTATCATCTGTCACCATACAAAGTTATTAAATATTAATGACTACATTCCCTATACTATCCTTTTCATTCCTGTGATGTATTTATTTCCTGATTGGAAGTTTGTACCTTGTTATCCCCCCTATCTAAAGTTACTTAGCACTGTCATTCCTGAGCCTCCCTGAGGAGTCACCTCGCAAATTTCAAAACTGATGGCTCTGACGGTTCTCTCTGGTCTGTTACATCAGGGATCCTCAAACCTCTGCATGCGCGCCAGGGATCCTCAAGCTCCCATGTGTGTTATTACTTGGAGGGCTCATTAAAACACAGATTGCTGGACCACAACCATAGAGTCTCTGATTGAGTAGGTCTGCGGTGGGACCCAGGAATTTGTCTAACAAATGTCTGGGTGATGTCCATACTACTGGTGAAGAACCATGTGCTAAGGCATTAATCACTTTTCTAGATGCTCTCTAGCTTCCAGAATTTTGTTACTATTGTCTATACTTGTCTCCCCTAGCCTTATTGGTGAAACCACCTCATTTGATTAACACTTTAAGTAGCTGTATATTGCATTTTAGTGAGGTTTTTCCAGAGAGAAATATACCATTTTAATTAGAATGCCCAGAATTTTCTTTACCTTCACCTCCTCCTTACCTGGATCGAAGCCATTCCTCAAATCCTGTTTCTCTCCCACAAACTGTGGGGCCTCTCCTGATGCCCTCTGTACCTGACGCCCTCTGTAATTTTGAGGCTCACATATCTTGCAATATTGCCTCTGCCCCAGGTCAGTTCCATCTTCTGTTGGCCTCTGGTCACTCGCCTTTTTCACCGAAGTGGTATAACGTGTCCCTTGGGCATTTGCTAGACCGCAACTCCTACCATTGTCCCAGGACAGTGTACCAGACTGTCCAAGCTGCCAGAACAAAATGCCACACATTGGGGAGCTTAAACAACAGACATAGATTTTCTCACAGTTCCAGAGGTGGGGAGTGTAAGGTCAAGGTGTTGGCAGAGGTGGTTTCCCCTCAGAGCTCTCTCCTTGCCTTAAGGATGATGGCTTGCTTGCCGTCCGCACGTGGTCTTCCTTCTGCGTGTGCAAAGCCACCTCTTCTGAGAAGAACACCAGTCATATTGATTGGGGCCCACCCACATCACCTCATGTTACCTGAACTACCTCTTTAAAGGCCCTACCTCCAAATATAGTCACATTCTGAGGTTCTCTGCATTAGAACTTCTACATGAATTCGGACGGGACACAAGTCAGACCAAAGCAGATAGTACCTTTCAACGGGTGGCCAAGGGCCCACCTTTATCACAAGTGCCTGGCGTGTTTTTAAAATGAGGATTCCTGGGCCCAACCACAGATATGCTCATTAGACTGTCTGAGGCCTGTGCCTGGTAATCTGTATTTTTATTAAGCATACCAGGTAATTTTTATGAGTATCAAAACTTCTGTTCCTCTGTCCTGCATCTTTCAATGTCCATGTGGGAGACCCTGTCACTGCATCCTGGCCCTTATCCACTCTGTCCCCCCTCCCTGGAACCTCATGGGATCATCCCATGAAGCTGCTGCTCCTCTGAGCAGCACGCCACACCTCTGACTCAGGCTCCTGCATCACCCAGGCCTCTCATGACCTTGGAAACACTGCCCCGTCCTTGAACTCTTTCCAGATCCATCCTCCCCAGCTTCTCCTGGTCGGTCTCATGGATGTGTGGGGGATGGATTCTAGCGGCAAACCTGTAAGAAGTCATCCAGGGGAGAGAAAAAGAGGTACTGAAATTGAGCAGGGCTCAGGTAGACTGGAGAAGGAAAGAGAAATTCAAGAAATATTTCGAAGGTGGAACTGTCAGGACTTGGTGAATGAATGCGGTGGGAACACAGCAGCAAAATAAACTTCCTGTCAAGGAAGTCAGGACACCTGCAGATGAAGTGGCCCTTGAGCTAGGTCTGCTCTGAGCAGGGCTTTGACAGATAAGGAGAGATCATGGTGGGAGGCACGGGGAGGAAGAGATTTTCTACAGGTTACATATGTAAACATGTTCGTAAGGTTTCAAACAGTATAGAAGATGGGCTACCATAGCTGTTGTTTTTCTCTTCTATGATATTCTTAGAAACCCATTTCATTGGAAAAAATACTCCAGTGAATGGCATTAGATTGAAGGGCTGCCTGTCCTGGCTGTACAGGCAATGTGATGGCTTCTTGGGGTTCTTAGCAGTACTTTGGGGCCCATACCAACTTGTATTTCTTTCTTCCAAATGATTTTTCTGGTCCACATAAATTTCTCTTGTGCTTGGAACACACCTGTGTCCTCACCTCTACAGGAGATCAGATCTCCTTTCCTGGTCTGGATTCTTCTTAGTAACAGTAAATAGAGCTGGTGGCGATGTCCCACATCCCCAGTTGGTACAAGGGTAAAGTGAATAATGTGCAGAGCTTTTGAAAATCCCTCAAGTGGAGAGTCCTGGGCTCATATAAAATGAGTAAATACCAATTTAAAGCCAATTCTCTGAGTTTGAAACTGTATATTTCTAGTTTACTTAAAAAGTAAGGGCCAGCCAAATAAGCAATTAATGCCATGACTAAGAGCCGAGAGGTTTTCAGGAGCGATTCCACTGATTAACATAGTCCGGGAGATGTGGACAGCCGCACACACAATTCCCTTGCCCTTCTCTCAGGAGCTCCGTGAGACAGTAAGACCAACGAGCTCGGCATTCTCCACTGTGAGCCCAGCAGAAGTGATTACATACCACTGAGGAGCGGGTAGCCCTGGACTCGAGTGCTGGAAACCGCAGCTTCTTGTTAATCAGGCTGAGCTGTAATTTTTAAATTAAAGTACAAGAGGCTTTGGTACTTACCCATCTGTTTAAAGTCTCTCACTGTTACGGGTTGAGTTTGTTCTCCTCGGTTCTTGTCCCCGCCACAACAAAGAATTGAAAGACAGAGACACTAGGGAAGCAGAGTGAAAATTGTATTAGAGTACACTCCAAAGAAGGGGCGGGCTAGAGTCAAGGTAGGCTCGATCTGATAGGCGGGAGGCTTATATACTGCATTCTGGTTACGAGGCGCCTCTTGGACTGACAAGGTGGGGTAATTTGATTTACAGGTCCATCTACATCGCCATCCCTCGCTGTGAGCATGTCCTTTCCCCACGCTGAGGGGTGATGTGGGCGGTTCTTAGTTCCATTCCATTATGCCCCCGTTGGGATCTGGTGCGGAAGGACGTTATTCCCCTGCACAGCCGTTGTCTTCACATGGGATCCCCTACCTGGGCAGGGCTTGGGGGGCTTTTTCTTTAAATTTTTAGCTTCCCTTTCCAGGTGCTCATGTCTGTCTTTCTATCTAACATTCCTAACATCAGTATTGATGGCTAGCAATATAATTATTTTTAATTGTCTACACCCTTCTTGCCAGGAAGGAGCTTGGGACCTCAGTGGCTTGTGGGCTGAGAGGGGCCCCTAGAGAGGATCGGGACCCCTGAGAATTTTCCACCAAATGGACCTTACTGCTGCTGAACAGAGAGGACCAGAATTCCCAGGAGGAGGGATTTCTAAATTCCCCTGTCAGCTTGCTTCCGGGAATTGCCTAATAGTCACAGCTGAAAGAGCAGGCGGCCCTTCTCCAAAATGAAGAGTAAGCAAGGCTGGTTCTCTCCCTTCCGTTTGTGTTTCCCTGTTCACTGCTCACCCCAGTTAATACTATCCATTCCTCTTCCTCCTGGGGACACATTCTGTCACTGGGAGCTCAACGCAAATGTGTCAGCTACATTTATGTGAAGGCTGAAGGTTGAAAACATTTAGCATTTGCATTTTAGCGGAGTTGATTGGAGAAGGCAGCTGTGGTTGACCTTTGAGGGTTTGGCCCTCTGAAAAGTCTTTCTAACAAGTGCTTTGCTACAGACCCTATAGGAACATCTGATCGACATCTCAAATTTGTAATAAACAGAACCATTGATTGCTATTTCCAAGCCCATTCTTCCCTGAGGCATCCCTGCTTCTTGCTGGCAACAGTATTCACCTAGTTGTCAAAGCCAAAAACCTTAGAGTCATCTCCAATTCCTCTCTTTCTGTCAATTACTTCATGATCTGTCAGCAAGTACTGTTGATTCTACCAGTGGAGATAGAAGCTCCACTGCACCCCAGTCCTGTGTGCCTCTCTCTAGACAAATGTAATTGCTCTGCTAACTACTTGTCTCTCAGGATTTGCTCCTCCTCCCCTATAGTTGGGTCACCACATGGCAGTCAGAGTGCTCTTTAAAACAGAGATCAGAACTTCCTTGCTCAAAGCCATCTCATGGCTTCCCATTGTATTAAAAAAATACAAAACAAGGGAATCCCCACTTCTTACCTGGACCCGTCTCACCCTGTCCACCTCTGGGCCTCCTGTCACCCTCCGCCGTCTAGGCCTTCTCCGTGCTCCTGGGTCACGTGCTGCTCCTCCCCACCTGGGGTCTCACACTCCTCCGCACCCTCAGAGCTTCCTGGGGCTGGCTCCCATCATTAGCATTTTCCTCCAGAGGCTCCTTCCTCCGTCTCTAAATCATCTCCACTCCACAGCACACCCCTCCCCACTCCCATTCCCCTCCTTGGCATCACACCGGAATGTTGTCTGTTACCAATTACAACTCAGAAACGCTCCTGTTCATAATTTCCTTAGGACTTTACTGCTCATCTCTCCTCTCCACTCAAAAATTCTTGAATCTAATAGAAGCTCCATAGGAGCAGGGGTCTGCCCATCTTGCTCAAATACTGCAGAATCTCTGTATCTATCATGGTGCCAAACACCTGCAAGGCTTCAGTCAACAGATAAGGAACCAATGAAGGAAGGAGTAGATGAATGAATCAATTTCACATTCCAGCTTATTTTAGGTGGGAAGTAAGGCTGTGATGTGCAAGAATGCAGGTCTGCCTCTCGTCCATTGTCCATGTTCAACCTGGGAAAAAGTTCCTGCCCTCCCACAGGGGCTACACTCCATGCCTTCTCTCTGCTTCCCTTCCTGGCATGTCCTTAGCACTGGCAAGTTCTAAAGAGAAAGGGCAGTTCAGTCCTGTTCACGCAGGAAAGTTGTCTTACTTGGGAAGACGAAACACAAGTGAATTGGAGAACAACAAGCCAAAAGTTGGATGGAATCGAATGCCAAAATGTTTTAATTAGCCCTGTAGTTCTCAAACACCCCAACACTGCCACAGTCCCCTGGTGGAGCTGGTAAATAGCAGTTTTAAATTCTTAGAAGAGTTTCCTAAGAGATTGTGATGATTGTCCAGGTTTGGGAACCTCTGGTCTGTCTAGGGCAAGGGATTTGTAGATGAGCTGACCCTTGGCTAGTGAAAGGCAGAATTTGGATAGTTGGAGAAGGAGCATGGTCAGCCCAGGTGGGAGCTGGTGGGCAGGGGAGACAGTGGTTAGAGGTAGGGAGTGGCAGGGCCAGGGTTGGGAGCATGGGGCTGACAGCCAGTGGCATCCCTTTCTCTGCCTGCCAGTGGCCCGATACCGTGTGACTGTGTGCACGGGGGATCTTGAAGGTGCGGGAACCGATGCCAATGTCTACCTCTGCCTTTTTGGGGATGTGGGAGACACGGGGGAGCGGCCACTCTACAATTGCAGGAATAACACCGACTTGTTCAAGAAGGGCAACGTAAGTGGCAGTGATGCCCCCCACCCCGCCCCTTTCCCTCCCTTCCCTCACTTCCCTGCTCTGCTTAGTGGAGCTGACTCCAGCACTGGGGCCTCGGCCACCAGAGAGGCTCTTTCTGGATGAGGGCAACAGGGAACTAACATGCGTGACACCAGTTAGGCAGCTGGGACTATCCGTCTGGGGCCTGGACAGCCGCCCCAGGAGGGTCGTGGTCCCCACTTGCCCCTGAGCTGTGGGAAGAGGGCAGGGCAGGGCAGGAGGCCACTGGGGGAGGCAGGAACAGCACCTTGCTTCCCTCAGGGGTGACAGGCAGGGAGGATGATGCACCAAGGCCAGCGGAGAGCTGGGCACCTGAGGGCAAACCTGGAGACTTTGCCCTCTCTACCAGGCATGAACCCCGGGGACAATGTATTCATTTCCTTTTTGGAAGAGAAACCAGGGAAGACACTAAATGTGGTGATAGGAGAACTGGGTTCTGCTTGTGGCCTCATTACACATATGCTGGGTGTTTGCTGGTTTTTCCCAACCATCTGGGTTCAGTGGGGCCCCCAGGCAGGTCTGGGGACAAACCCAGCCTGGGGCCAGTCACTCCACTCAGGAGCTTCAGTTTCTCAGGTCTAAGGTGAGGGAGGAGAGGCTGCTGTGAGCATTAGGGATGCCGGGAGCACTGCCCCTGCCCGCAGACCTGGCCCGCAGCACTCAGTAGGTGCTCAGTAGAGAGCTGCTGCAGTAACGTGATGCTCAAGGTTGCTCACCAGGTGAGGGGGACTTGCAGACTGTCCTCACATTAATGTGGACCTCTGCTGCCCCATCCTGGATGAGAGCGGTGCAGGCCCTGGAATGTGAGCAGAGGTCTGTCCCCAAGGCCATCCCAGGCTGGCCCAGTTCTTGGGATTATGGGCACAAGAAGGCTGTGATGGCAAAAATAATCTGAGTACTGTGGGTGGACTTCAGTTCATTTGGGGAGATGAGGAGGGAAGGACTTTACTTACCATAGATTTATAAATTTCTTCTTCCCTGTCCCACCCACCTTCCTCTCCACCCTTTCCTACTCTTTTCCTTGTACATCTTCTGGCTCCTTCATCCACCAATCCCACCCTCTGTATTTCTGGCCCTGGAGGCCCCTGGGTGTGGTCCTGTCGGCTGGGCAATTCTCCAGGCCCTCTGCATTTCTGGTGCCCCAGTGGCAGGCAAAACTGTGAAATTAGCAAAACTACTGGTGCCCCCCACCCCCTGTCATTTCTGATCATTCCCTTCCTGGGAAGGGGGACAGAATCATCCTGTGCCAGAAGCCCCAGGAGATTAGCTAAGAAATTAATTCATGACTAATGGTTAGTCCCTGATAACAGTTTGGCATGTTCATCTCTCTGGGGGATCTGCCTTTCAGAAGGAGATCATAGGGAATGGCCATTGTTTAACCAAAAAATACAGATCTCTTGTTGGGAATTTGACATCAAATGCTATTCCAGTGGGAGAAGTAAGGGGCAGGGCTGCAACCTGTGTTCTCCAAGTAGCTCCCGGCCCACCGTGGAAGACCCAGCTCTGCTGAGTCCTGGGCCCGTGTCTTCCCCTGGGGTTTGGGTCCCAGAGGAGCCGCCCTCCAGCTGACTGTGCTTCCCCCGCCTCCCCTGAAGGCTGATGAGTTCACCATTGAGTCAGTCACCATGCGGAAGGTGAGGAGGGTGCGCATCAGACACGATGGCAAAGGCGTGGGCAGCGGCTGGTTCCTGGAGCGGGTCCTCGTGAGGGAGGAAGGACAGCCTGAGAGTGACAACGTGGAATTCCCATGTCTCAGGTATGTGAGTCCTGCCTGCTTTGGATTTTCTGTGGCTTAGATTATGGGCCCTAGCTTTGGGGGGAAGACTCGGCCCTACTACCAGGACAAGGGAGCAAAATAGTGGCCTAAGGATGTGACTGGTAGAAGAAAGAGGTGGGCCTGCTGGTGGTGCTTAGGCCAGGCCTGGCACCCCCTCAACCAGGCAATGCAACACCAGCACCAGGTGTGCTGACAACCGGCACACTGCTACTGTGTCCATCAAACGTGACAAAATAGGAACACCTCAGAGCTTAACTGAGAGTCACCTTGTTAGTGACACCCCAAACTAAACTCTTGAATCAAAGGTGTTTTTTCCCTCTGGATAGCCTTTTGACCACATCTCTCCCCTGTTAATACTCTTTCAAGGTATCTTTGTTTTCATTTCCTGTCTCCAGCTTACTGGTGAGGTAAGGTTTCCTTTCTCTTTTTTCTTAAGCATTTGGATTTCTTTCATAGCCAGTTTGGGCTCCCATCAACTTCTAGAAGTTCCTAATAGAGAATTTTTGGAATGAGGAGCGATAACAGTGTTGTTTGCACCATTAGGTCGGCCATTCAGTTTACATGCAGCAGTGACTGGGAGGCTGAAGCAATGTGCTTGACCTGGGTCAGTAGACCTGCTGAGCCCGACGCCACGCCCCCTCTGGAGGAGCTCTGAACAGGGCCCGCCCTGTGCCTGTCAGCTTCTGGTAGCCCCATGCATTACTTGGCCTGTAGATGGCTGAATTCTCCCTGTGTCTTTTCACATCACCTTCCCTCAGTACATGTCTGTCTCTGGGTCCAGATTTCCCTTTTATAAGGACACCAGTCATTTTGAATTGGGGCCTACCCTAAAGACCTCATTCTAACTTGATTACCCCTGAAAAGACACTAGTTCCAAATAAGGTCACATTTGGAGGTGCTAGGGATTAGGACTTCAACATATCTTCCTGGGGGACACAGTTCAACCAGTAACATGGAAGCTTGGCCCTGCATGGTTGCAGTGATGGTGGAGAGAAGAGGCTACTGCAGAGATGGCTCCTGGAGGTAGAGTCCATCATAGGTTTGAGATGTGTGTCAATGGCGTAGGCAGAGGCAGTCCTTGAGAAATAAATTCAGAAAATGAGAGCAAAAAGATGGAATTTAAAGTGAGGGAAATGGGTAGGATCCTTTTGGAAGAGTGGGGATAAAGAAAATGGTGAGGAGTGAGCCCTTTGACAGGTCAGGAAGAGGAAGGGGAACCTGGAAAGGAGATGAGGAAGAAGTGGGTATGTCCACACTGCCTGCTTGCCACATGCATGAGAAAGGGGGAGTGTGGGACCAGGAGTCTAGCCACCTCCCTGCTGTGTGACTCTGGGCACATTTCTTAACTTCTCTGGTCTTTTGTGCCTTTCCAACCAGCAAGTGTCTTGTGATAGTTGGAGTGAAATGTGGTTGCACTTTGAAAGGAATGAAGTCTGCCAAAGACCCAGGTGATGCTGACAGCAAAGCAGAACAGGAGCTGAGCCCCCAAATACCCTAGAGCCTTCCCTGTCCCCAAACACAAAGAGTTCATGCACTTCTTAGAAAATAGTTTCTTATATCTTGCCAAGATATATGGTAATGGCTGCCGACTCAGGACCCAGGATGACTTTGGAGAAACTGGAGATGGAGCTTAAGCTCACACACTGCTTTTTTTTTCACCTGAGCTGTATTTTAAACAGAAAGGAGGGTAAACCAGGCCTATTTATCAAAATTTCTCTGCCAGAATCAGGTAGTGGTAAGCATTTTAGCTATGGCAAGCATGTACATGTTTATGTGTCTATGTGTATGCACACACATGTGCATATTTGTATATTCCTGAGAGCCCAGAGGAACAGTAATAAAATCACCAGCAGACTGGCTTATCCATTTAGCAACACCTCACTCTGAAACTGGGCTGAAGGATTTGAAGCTGAAAGAAAACGGCTATATTTGGAAATATCTATTAATACCCTGCAAGTATTTAGGTGGAGACTGAAATGACAAGTCATGGTTTCCTGTTACTGCTGGGGAGGGCCTGGGGATGGGCACATGGTGGAGGAAATGAAGGGGAGCAGATGGGATTTGCCAGTGGCCAGGGGCTGGCTGACTTCCATCCTCCCGCCCCCGTGAGTCCGTGGCCATGCTGCATCCCAGCCTGCTCTGAGGTCTCCATGTCTGTGGGAGATGCCGGAGTGACCTGGGCAGGGCAAAGGGGAGGCCCCTAAAAGGTTCATCAGAGGGGCTCTATTCCACAGCCCTTTCTCCCAAATATCTCTCCCTTCTCTTTGCCAATGCCAAGAATTCCACAATTATACCTACATGTCTTGAAATAGAAAACATTTTTTGGTGTTCTAGACTCACAGCACCAAAGCCCATAGGGAGTAGAACAACTCCACTAAAGGATAACATTTAAGTGCTAGTTAACAGCCCACTGACGGCAAGGTCCCAGGGGAATGTGTGCTCCTGTGCCTGAGGAGGGTGGGCGGGAGAGGGGATGGGAACACAGCTGTGTCTTGTCTGCACTGACTCCAGAGTGGTGGGGGTCTATTGGCAGAGAGGACTGTGGTTTAGGGAGCCCTGAGCTCCATGCCAGGAGGGCTGGGGAGGAGGCAGTGCCATGACTCCTTTGATAGGTTCTGTGGCCCAGAAATTGCCTTCCTCTTGGGAAAATAATAGGGGTTAGCTGCAAAGACAAGAACCAAGACATAGACAAAGATAGTTGTGGGATAAATGGAAGTTCCTATGGCCAGGATCCTCACCTGGCCCTAAACTACTTCATGATGTAATTGGCCTACTGCTAGGCTAATGCTTCCACATCTGTTAGCAATGTGTTATTATTGACTGAGTCACTATATAAAGAGCTCTGCCCAGTGCTCTGGGCAGAGGCAGAGATGGAGGTGGATTATGGACCTGCAGACTGCTGGATGCAGATGTGCTTCTAGTGCTCAACCTACCACTGTGAGAATAAAGCCAGGTATAAACCCTTTTACCCCAAGAACATTCCGTTGTCATTTCCCAGTCTCACTGAATTCATAGTGAACTTGCCAGGGGCTGAAACCCTCAGGCAAGACAATGGTCAAGAGGAAGTATCTTGTTTTCCCCATTGCACTGGAAAATATTGGATGGGAGTGTCTCCTCTGTTGCCATCACTGCATATCACAGACCATCTTAGCAGTGAGGTCTGGACAACTCATCCTTGCACAGTTGTTGATTTCACGGGCTGGGTCTCCATGCTCAGTGGGAATGGTGCTTTTTAGGCAGATAGTCCAACGTCTTTCTTCCTGGTGGATGACCAGCAGAGAGCTGGGGCCATGGTCCACTCTGGTGTATTGATGAGTCATAGCTGTGAAGCCCAGTTCTGTAGGCTCTAGACCCAACTTCTCCTTTTTGTCAAATCTTGTTTATCCTTTAGGACTCAGATCAAAGCCCCCTTTTCCAAGAGCCCTTCTCATTTATCTAAGTTCCTGTTGCACTTTCTTTGGTCCAACGTCCATCCTTGTCTTGTTCTTCAGTGCCTCGGCCAGTCTTTCCTGCTTCTTGACTAGGCAGGTTCTCTAAGGGCTGGGTTGTGTCTTCTTGATCTAAGTGTATTTTCTCTGCCTTCTGTCTACTCTAGAGCCCTCAGCACAGTGCCATGCACATGGTAGGCTTTTAGAAAAAGAGGTGGTTGTTTTTTATAATGATGACACAGGTATTTTATGGCTTTTAAGGCAAATGTTTTATGTGATTGCCAAGGTCCCACATCCTGTGACCCTTCTATCTCTCCAGCCTCACCAGGGCACACTACCTTCTTTGGCTGCATTCCAATCATATTGGCCTTTAGTCAACTCCTGAGGGCTCTGCTCCATCCCAGCATATGCTACTCCCACTGGAATGTTCCTCCCTCTTCTCCTGGTTAACTTCTGATCTTCTTCCCCAGCTCAGTCAAATATTACCTCCTCAGGGCAGTTTTCCCTCCCCAGTCTGGGTTGGGACCCTTTGTTCTGAGCTCCTGTAGAACCATTTCCTTTGCTCACTTCAAAGCTCTGGCCTCCCTGGTGGCCCTGAACGAATTGTGTGTTGGTTGGTTTTAGGCCTACCCCACTTAAAGAGCTAACAACCCCTTGTTTGCCCACCAGATGGCTGGACAAGGATAAGGATGATGGGCAGTTGGTCCGAGAGTTGCTGCCCAGTGACAGCAATGCTACCCTGAAGAGTAAGTGTTCTTGATGACCAGGAGGTGAGTGTCCTCTTGGCAAGACAGGCGTCCTCCCCTGACTGCAGAGAAGCAAGCCCGTGGAGAAAGCCCAGGATCCTGGTGGCGATGGGGAAGGTGGAGAGGAAGAGCTCTGAGGGAGGATCTGAAATGCTCTCATCTGTCTGCACTGTGTGCAGTCTCTTTTGGCCTTGAGTGTGGGGCCCTGAACACAGATGGGCCCCTGCTAATAAGAGCAACAAAAACAATAACAGTAGTTTGAAAGGTTGAGACTTTACTCAGATGTTTTTATCATCCCTGTACACTGATAATGCAGACCTTTCCAGGTGATAAAGGGAGTAACATCAATATGAAGTCCCAGTTAGAACAGTATCTTTAGGTCACATGAGGATTTTACTCCTAGCTGGCTATTTCTTAACTGTTGACATCTTAGGCCAAACATGTAACCTTCTGAGGCTCAGATTCCTCACCTATAAAGCCAAGATTTGAATACTTAGCAATAATACTGTGTATATATCATGTTAATCAACACTGTCTGCAAAGGTTGATGCTTCCTTTGTCTCAGTTTCCTCATCCATCAGATGAGAAATTGGACAAGATGGTTGCTTAGATCCTTACATTTTAATATTCTCAGACTGCTTTCCTGTTTGGAACTTCCACACCTGGTGGTCAGGCTGAGCAGGTATTAGAATTCAACACCATAGACGAGGATGGTGGGAGTCCTGCCCAGGTCTCAGGGCTACTTAGATAAGAGAGCAAGGGTCCTCCTACCCTATGCTTTCTGCCACTCGCCCTGCACTAACCCCTCCCTTCCTGCTTCCTTGACTGTTCAGACTTTCGCTATCACATCAGCTTGAAGACTGGGGATGTCTCTGGGGCCAGCACAGATTCGAGAGTCTACATTAAACTCTATGGAGAAAAATCTGACACCATCAAGCAAGTTCTTCTTGTCTCTGACAACAACCTGCAAGATTACTTTGAACGTCACCGAGTGGACGAGTTCACCCTTGAAACCCTGAACATTGGAACTGTAAGTCTCCTTCCTGGGACCCTGGGACATCTCTCACCCACCCCTCCCCTCCGCACATACACACACATGAGTACACACACACACAGGTGAATCCATTTTAAGGAAAACTAATGTCCCAGTTGGGGGTTAGCGAGGAATGTTGTTTCCCAGCATGATCTAGAGCAGCAGAAGATATGCGAGCAGTGGTTAGGCTTCCAGAGTCTCGCTGGGGATGGAATGTGCATTTTTAGTGGCTGTAGTACCAACATTCCTTTACCTTCACAGCCAGGACCAATGTACCCGGGTCCCCAACACTAGTGGAGGGGACACTGGTATGCAGGGAAGGAAAAAGGAGAGGGAAGAACTGGAAAGGGGAGTTGAAATTACTTCCAGTTCTACACCCAAGTGTGCATCGAGAGTGCCCCCAGGCAGCCTCCTGCAGTGCACACCCCAGGCCACCCTTCAGAGGTTCTACCAAGAAGATGGCACCTGAGTCTCCCGTTGTCCAGGCTGCAGGTGGCCCTGCTGCAAGGTGTCTGAGCACTTCATCTGGCAGAGCACTGGTCCAGCCTGAGTGTTGGAAACTTTTCTAGAGATGTCTGAGCTGGACTCTGTGCCCCTACCTGCCCCGCTCGGGGTGTGGTTGCGGGGACTGAGCTGGTGACAAGCTCCCTTCTGAAATCCTACCTGTCCTGCCCTTGCCCGTCTCTGTGAGCCTTACCCTATTTCAAGTACTCCAGCAAAATGCACTCTGGGGGAAGCTATCACATCAGTCATTTATACCTGGATGGTAATGGAGCTTAAATTAAGTTTTCCTTGATCAAAATATATTTCCATCTTAAGCTGAATTAATAATTGTAGAGTAAAGTGCTGTTCCTGTCACTAAGAATTTCTGGCAGCAGCCAGCCAATAAATGAGTTACCTTTATTTGCTTCAGTTTCCTCATTCATAACAACAAGGGATCCCATGGGATTGTTATTAGCACTTGACTATGTTAGTAACGCCCACATGCACGAAGTAAGTACTCAATAAATGCTATTTGAATGGTTTGCTCTGTGTCAGATGTTAACTGTTGAATTGAAAGACTAGTCCCTGCCCTTAACGAGCTTCCTGTCACATCAGATAGAAGCCATCTGTCCCTGTCTTTACCCTTTCAGCCAGTCCCTCCAGAGGACTAACACAATCCCAGCATTACAGAAAGACAAAGTTTTCTCGTGTCCTTGGCTCTTAGATGTTATAAACATGGCTGGTTTCCTTCTGAAGATTCCAGGGGATTTGGGATACACGCATTCAGCTATGATGGTATTTCCATTACCAGCTGCAAAGAGGCACTTACTACTCCTGAGAGCAAGAGCAGGGCTGGCATAGACAATTTTCTAAATCTGGCCTTTTAGCAACAAACTCATGGCTACTAGCATCACCCCTCCAAACCTTCACAGAGAAAATATGGAGGACAGAAGGAATCTCAAAGGCCAAATGACCGCTCCACCTGAGGTTAGAATTGCCCTATATACAGCATTAAAAAAAAAAACATTAAAGCAGTTTGAACACTGAAAAACCAAGTCCTTACAAGGATGGTAACGTGATCATCTACGCAGTCATCTCTGTTGCCCATGGACAAAGAGGTTAAAATGTAAAATAGCAAAGCAGGTAGACTGTTGAGGGTTATTGGAGAAAAATGTTCCTTGGGTCCAAGAGTGAGAAGAATTGGGCATAGAACTACAGAGTCCTGAGAGCACTGTCACCTCTAGGAGGAGCATGTCAGAGAAGAAATGCAGAAATAGGTCCAGTAGGGTATTGTTCAGAGCAAAAAAATGCCAAATTACTAACATAGGTCGGAAGCAGATGATTAACACTTTGAATGTTTGCCTTCTTGTATAGCCACCACTGAACATTATTAAGTACATTTCAAAGTTCATGCTGCACTCACTCCCCAGCTTGCTTCTCACAATTTCCCTGGGGGGTGAGCTGGACTGAAGAGAAGGGAATGGAGGCCCCAGGCAGGAGAGGTGGTGCCCTCGTCCCCCAGCTGCCTGACAGTGATGGGACTGGGACCCAGCCTCCTCCTGCTGAGTCTACCTTTTCTGCGGTAACTGGAGGCCCAGGTTTAGGAGAGCAGTTGGCACTAGTGTTTGGCGAGGTCTGTGTCTGAATAATTCTACACACTGGTCCTTGCTTGCTCACACCCCGAGTTTCCTTCCAGATCAACAGGCTGGTGGTCGGGCATGATGGCACAGGCATGCACGCCGGCTGGTTCCTGGGCAGCGTCCAGATCCGCGTGCCCCGCCAAGGCAAGCAGTACACCTTCCCTGCCAACCGCTGGCTGGACAAGAACCAGGCCGATGGGCGCCTGGAGGTGGAGCTGTACCCCAGCGAGGTCCTGGAGATCCAGAAATGTACGGCAGCAGCAGGGTGGGACCATCAGCTCTGTTTCCCCTGCAGGATGGGGCAGTGGGGGACGAGGAGGACTGGGGGCCAACCTGGGTCCTGTCTCCAAGTGGGGAGCTGGGACCCTGTCTCCATGGGCTTCCAATTGCCTCTGGTGCTATGATTCAGGGATGGCAGGGGAGAAAGGTTCATGTTACAGATGGGGAAGCCAAGGACTCAGTGGATGAAACATTTCTTTCCATGGTAAAGGCAGCAAATGATTCTATAAGAAATGTATATTCTCAGTCCTGTGTACAAGAGGAGTTTGAACCATAGCTCATGTCTTCCTCTGGCAAGACTGGCTGAGGAGATAAAGCTGTTGATTCATTCATTTATTCAATAAATAGATATTGAGTGTTTCTCTGAGCCAGCACTGCCCTAGGATCTGTGAAGGCAGCCATGAACTAAACAGAACAAATCCTTGCCCTTGTGGACTTTATATTCCACCATGACAGACGAACACTAAATATATACCACAGTGCCAAGTAAGAGCTGTGAAGAAGCAGCAGCAGGATAAGGGGTTAGCAGTGGCTTGGAGGGGGGGCTTCTTTGTGAACAGGGTGGTGACGTCTCTGAGTGAAGGTAAAGTTTAGGGTGATCTGACACCCATTTTACCCCTTACAGTAAGGCTCAGAGAAACAAGGTTATCGGAAGGATCAGGAAGACAATGGGACCAAAATCTGGTATAGAGAATGTCACTTCACTTCCCTCACATCTATCCTGAAAGCAACTGCCCACAGCTCACTTCCCAGGAAGCGTCCCTGAGAAAGAACCCCAATATCAATTTACCCTTTTTTGTTCCAGAACACCTTATGTCTTTTCACGTGTGCATTTTCTCTCCCCAGCTGAACTGTAGGTTCCTGGAGAGTGTGTCATATACACATGCTTTGTAAGGGAACTGCCAGTGTAAAGATTGACCCCTTCCTTCTTCCCATAAATTAAAACTAATTTCCATCAAAGTAATACAGGATCTAGTTAACAAGATATAGATAAAAAAAAAAAAATTGTAGGTTCCTGGAGAGTGTGTCATATACACATGCTTTGTAAGGGAACTGCCAGTGTAAAGATTGACCCCTTCCTTCTTCCCATAAATTAAAACTAATTTCCATCAAAGTAATACAGGATCTAGTTAACAAGATATAGATAAAAAAAAAAAAAAGCAGATAAAATCTTCCCTCTATTCTATGCTCCTTCAGAGAGAACAACTTTTAAATTACTTTAGCTTTTTCTTCTGAAATTAATCTCCATGTTTTTAGTATATATTTATTTCTTGATTTTTAAGTCATAGGCAGTTAACTATTGACTTCCTATTATGGAAGAGGAGGATTGTTTAACACACATGCATGTGCCTATGTGTGTGCGTGTATATACACACTTCCCCTCCTCCTAGCCTTCAATAAAATTAAATCAGTATTCAGTTTTCACATGATTATGACTGCAGATATTATTCACTGCTGAGACACTTACTGTATGATGACTGCATTTCATTTTTGTACAACTTCTTATTTTTTTATGAAGTTAATAAGAGCCTCACATTTTCATTTGTATTGTTTTCTGTATACCCATCTGTATTTCTGTGTACCCATTTATACACCTACCTATCTGTATTAATGTGCTAGGGCTGCCATAACAAAATACCAGACTAAGTGGCTTAACGAATAGAAGTGTAGTATCTCACAGTTCCAGAGGCTGGAAGTCCAAGGTCAAAGTATCAGCAGGTTGGGTTTCTCCCGAGGCCTCTCACCTTGCGGATGGCTGCCTTCTCACTATGTTCTCGCATGGCCTTTCCTCCGTGCTCATGCCTGTCTGTGTCCTAATGTCCTAGTCATATTGGATTGGGCCCCACCATAATGCCTCATTTTAACTTAATAACCTCTTTAAAATCCCCATCTCCAAATACAGTCACATTCTAAGATATCAGGGGTTAGGGTTTCAACATATGGATTTGGAAGGGACACAGTTCTCCCGTAATACCATCTTATCTCCTCCTCTCCAATAGAACTAAAATTCTTTTCATATATTCAAACCCAACAGAAATTCTGTTGGTTTCCTCTCTATCTCCTCGCCCACTCTCTGTCTCAAGACATTACTTGAGGAAGCTCTGTTTTGCTCTCCCAGCTGCCAGGAAGCTGTCCATTTGGAACTTCTTTGCCATCTTTCTTTTTTCTCCTGGGTTGGCCCTTCCATTTGCTGGACTTTGTGTTTACTTCTTTGGTTTATTCCCTCATTTCTATAGTGCACATTTTCCATTAGCAGCTTCCTGAGAAAAGGTGTGTGGAAGAGAACTGTTGAGGCTTTGCATGTCTGTCTGCTACTCTCACCACTGATCAATAATTTGACTTGTTATAGAACTCCGAGTTGGAACTCATTTTCCCTTACAGTTTAGAAGAAATTATTCCACCATCCTCTAGCTCCCAGTGCTACAGTTGAGAAGTCTGTTAATGCCACTCTGCTATCCAACCCTTTGGTATTTTTTTTTTTTCTCAAAGCTTATAGACCCTATTTTTATCCCTGGCATTCTGAAATTTCATGATGTCCTCACTGCCTTTTTTTATTTTAGTTGTACTCATTATTCTCAGAATTCATGGGCCCCTTCTATCTAGAAGCATTTTTTAGTTCTAGGACTTTTTTTTGTATTATTTATTTGATAATTTCCAACTCTCTATTTCCTCTGTTTTCTTTAGAACTGAATTCTTAGTAAGATGTTGGATTTCCTCTGATCTTCTTACCTTTCTATGATTTGTCATTTTTGTTCTTAGGAAATTCCTTTTTTGTTCTTGAGAGCTTTCCTTAGTTTTATACTTGCTATGGAATATTTTATTTCAGCTACCACTAGCTGGTTCTTGTTCTTTAAATGCTCATTTTTATCTATCCTGATTTTGTGTAATTTTGGATGCCTATTGTTCTGAGAACTGATGAAGGGTACGGGGCGGGAGTTCTCTCCACTCAGAATTCCAGCTTTTGCTGAGGTCCCCACTTGCCCATGTGCTAGCGCACTCTCACTCCCAGCTGGGCCTGCTGTCTCTAGTTCAACTTCAGGCTCCAGCCACTCCTTTGTTTTCAACCCCCAGTTTTTCACATTGCTGTGGTAATGGAAGATCCTCCATATTGTTGGAAATAACTATCTTAATTTGAAAAAAAAATTATAGCATTGCTGAGAGGGAAAGTCTTTTAACAGTCACTGAAAAAATAATGGACCCATAATTTGGGAAGACATTTTGCTCGCCATTGGGAAGTGCCCTCTAGTGGTGCATATCTGTAACACATTTCTACCCTCTAACAGGTTGATGTATTAGTTCAAAATACAGACTCTTTCCCTGTAGATACATCTGTTGATATCATCTGAAAGGTGCATATCTTTAAATGAAAATTATAGTTTCAACCCCTTGTCCTTTACTGAAAATAAGGGGGGAAAACTGTGCACCCTTTGATGTATTCAGGGGTAGGCATACAGCAGCAAGTGCCACCTAGTGTACTGACCACTCCCGGTTCCAGAGCGCACATGTGGCACAGTGGATGACTAGGCTTTGAAGTCTGATTGACTGGGGGTACCATTTCGACCACCTGCTCAATTCCCCTAAGCCTCAATTAGTCAACCTGCAAAATAGGAACAACAGTGCTTACTCATGATATTGATGAGAGGATTAGATGACATAATACCTATGAAGTACCAGACATATGGTACAGGCTTGGGAATGCTTGTTTTGATTCTATGACTGCTGTTGGCATTATTACTAAATGTCCATTTCTCCCCCATGCGCCCACCCAGTGGTCCACTATGAAGTTGAGATTTGGACAGGAGATGTTGGCGGTGCGGGCACCACTGCCCAAGTCTT